GCCCGCCTCACGGAAACGCGGGCCTGGGCGCCTCCCAAGTCAGTCTCGGCTTACGGTCCGGTCCGGTGTAACGTGCCGAGGTCGTGCGCCGCCGCACCTGGAAACGGGCATTTCTTCAGCGCGCACCGTCAAGCGCCTACTGTGCGCAAGAAACGCGAGGGCGCCGGGCCCGGGCCAGGGGGCCAGCGCTTGGTGGGCACTTGGAACAGAGCTCCCTAGCTGGAGCCTGTGTGCGCTGGGCCAGCTAATGGAGCCCTCCCGCGTGTAGAGGTTGGAGGGCCGTGCGTGCACCTGTTGTGCCCGCTCATACTGTGCGCCTCGGAGGAGAAACGCCTGACCCCCGGGAACTGCTGTCCTCCCGAGGGAGAGGACACCAAACTGATGAGAATGACACTAGGATGCACTATGAGATTTGGTGAGCGCTTAATCTCTGTTAGGCGCCGGGCCAGGAGCTAGACGGTAGATTTCATTTACTCCTAGTAACCAAGGATGTGCTCTCTTCAGAGGCCCCTCTGACTACCCCGCTCAGAGTTGCCCCTCCTCCAGTCACTGTGACATCACCCTGTTGTGTCTCACGGTGCTTGTCCTGGGCAATGAGCTTTGCAGTTCATATCTCCCCCCAACAGACAAGCTCCCGAGGGCGAGGACTTGCTTGTTCATAGCTGAACACCGCATCTTCATCAGAGTAGGCCACACGATCGGCTCAGTAAATGCTTGCTGAATGAATGAAGGCTCAGTCGCACGCTTTTACTACCTCAGCAGGTAAATGACATGGGCAGGGTTTTATCTGGGTCCAGCTGACTGCAAAGTACACAATTATTCACATAACTTCCATCCAGTGTCACCAAATGGAAGCCACCTTAGAGGCCGTGGGAGGACCCAAGAGGGGAGCAAGGAAGGGAGGTAAGACCCAGCTTTTGGAAGCTCTGTTCTGCCCTGGTTCTCTGAAGGTTTAAACCCTGGATGCCTCGGCTGCTAGTCAACCCAGTCACCTCAGGTCTGTTTCCTCAGTGTTCCTGCTGTGGGCAGCCTCTGTCCCTAGCCAGGCCCATGCTCCCGCCCTGCTTCCTTCTCCACCTCCTTCAAGGAAACAGAATTCATTTTGATGGCAGGGACAGATTGCAGCCCAACTCCTGGTGAATTCTGGAGAACCTGGGTGGGCTTGCTGTCCTTTGTTGACACATTTGGGTTTTCAACCCAGGGGCTTAAGGGCAGCTTGCCTTGGTGGGGGCTGGATCTCAGATTTCAGAGAAACACCCTCCAAACTATCTGGGGTGGCTGGTTACTACTGGTGTCTAATGTCTGGAGCCCTCCTAGTGGCCAGCACCATGGATGACAGACGAACAGACAGCCTGAGATCATTCATTCACTCATCACATGTTTATTAAGCACCAACCTGGCCCAGACACTGTTCTAGGGAAATGGTAGGGCACATGACAGAGTCTCCTGGGAGGTAGGGGTGTGGGGTCAGGGAAGGCCTGTTCAGGAAAGTGACATTTGAGTCAAGACCTAAAGGAGGCGAGGGAGCAAATACTGTGCAAATATCTTGAGATAAATGATTCAAAGCAAAGGGAACAGCAAGGACAAAGTTCCTGCGGCAGGAACATGCTTGTGATTTCCAGAACAGCAAGGAGGCCCGTGAGACAGGAGTTAGGTAAGAGACGGGGAGGTGGAGGAGGGGAGGTCAGAGAGGAAGGGAGAGGGGCAGGTGGGGTAGGGCCTTGAAAGGGACTAGAGAGTCCTTGGTTTTTACTTATAAAATGAGCTGGCAAGTTTCTTCCCTCTAGGGTTTTGAATACAGGAATTGTATGACCTGATTTATATTTGAAAAATAGTTTTTATTTTTAATATGTAGAACATTCACATGCTTTGAAGACCCAAATTATATATGTATATATATATTATTTCATATAATATAATAGAATCATTATTATTTTTTGTCCAGCTTCTTTCACTTAACATAATGTTTTCAAGGTTCATCCATGTTGTAGCACTTCACTTCTTTTATGGCTGAATAACATTTCATTGTATGGATAGATCACATTTTGCTTCCGCATTCAGTTGATAGACATTTGAGCTGTTCCCACTCTTTGGCTGTTATGAAGACTGCTGTTAAGAGCATTCATGTACAAATTTTTGGGTGGACACCCATTTTCATTTCTCTTGGGTATATACATACCTAGGAGTGGAATTGCTGGATCCTATGGTAACTATGTGTAGTGTTTTGAAGAACTGCCAAACTGTTTTCCATGGCAGCTGCGCCATTTTACATCCCTACCAGCAATACACGAGGGTTCCAATTGCTCCACATCCTCACCAACATTTCTTATGTTCCATGTTTTTGGTTATACCACCCTAATGAACGGGAACTGATGATCTCATGGTGGTTTGCATTTACATTTTCCTAATCATTAATGATGGTGAGCATCTTTTCATGTGCTAATTGGCCATTTGTACATTTTTTTTGGAGAAATCTTTTGACCATTTAAAAATTGAGTAATTTGTCTTTGTTGTTAAATCGTAAGGGTTCTTTATATATTCTGGGCCCTAGATCCTTATCAGATATATGATCTGCACACCCCCTACTGGGGATGTGCCTGCAACCAAGGTACATGCCCTTGACCTGAATCGAACCCCGGGACCCTTCAGTCCGCAGGCTGACTCTCCACTGAGCCAAACCGGTCAGGGCTGTACATTTTTTTGGAGAAATCTTTAAAAATTGAGTTATTTGTCTTTGTTGTTAAATTGTAAGGGTTCTTTATATTTTCTGGACCCTAGACCCTTATCAGATATATGATGTACAAATGTTTTCTCTCATTCTGTTGGTTGTCTTTTCATTTTCTTGATAATGTCCTTTGGTAACTCAAAAAGCTTTTACTTTTGATGAAGTCCAATTTATCTATTTTTTACTTTGTGCTTTAATTGTCATATTTCTTCATTCTTTTTTTACAACTTCATTGTATGCTACTGTGTAGCTGGGCCATAATTTATTGAATTAGTTGCCTATTAATGGACAGATACTTGGATTGTTTCTTGTCTTTATGTTATAAACCTTTTACATAATGTCATTTGGCATGTGAAGGTAGATCAATGGGACAAACTCTTGAAGTGGGATTGCTGTGACAAATGTTAAATGCCTTTGTTGTTTTGGTAGATATAGACAAATCTATCAATAGGTAGGTAAGTAGATATCGCCATTGGAATCATATGCAAATTTATACTCCCACCAGCTGTTCAAGAGTGCCTGTTTCCCACAGCCTTGCCTGCAGAATGTGACTACTAAAGTAAGATTAAAAATTCAGTCCTTCAGTCCTGGCTGGTGTGGCTAAGTGGTTAGAGCATCAGTCTTGGGTTCAATTCCAGGTCAAGGGCACTAACTAGGTTGCAGGCTTGATCTGTGCCCTACTGGGGGCACATGCAGGAGGCAACCAGTCTGCGTGTCTCTCTCACATGGATGTTTCTCCCTCTCCCCCCACCCCCTCCCTTCCACTCTGAAAACCAATGGGAAAAACCCAATTAAAAATAAATAAATAAATAAATAAATAAAATTCAGTCCTTCAGTAGGTTTCAAGTGCTCATTAGTCACATGTGGCTGGTGGATAATGAGTCGGACAGTGCAGAGGGAGAACATTTCCGCCGCTGCAGAACGTTCTATTGGAGAGTCTGGCAAAGCATTGTACAGTGACCTTGACTTTACATTTTAATAGGATTCCTCTGGCTGTGTGTGTGGAACGAACTCAGGGACCGTGCTGAGGCAGGAGCCCAGGGAGGAGGTGACGGCAGAAGGCCAGGTAGGAAGGCATGGAGGGTCAGACCACGGTGACTGAGGAGGTGGAGAAGTGGTTGACTCTGGATGTTCTGAAGGTGGAACAGCCAGGATCTGCTGGTCGATGAGATGTGGGAGTAAGGGAAAGGGAGGTAATGGGCAGTGGGAAGGAGCCCAGGCTTTGGAGCTTGGAGTTTTGCAGCCGTGTTTCTGAGCCTTATGTGGGCCCGTGTTCCTTCCGCGTCATCGGCTCACTGCAAGGTCCACAGTGCCTGGCAGGCAGGAGCCTCTGCAGAGGTGTGTGTTATCTCCCGCTGCTGTTACCTCTGACCAGGAAGGTGGTGGGATGAGAGCCACACCTTCACCTGGCCTTCAAGGCCCTGCTGAGTGGGTGCTGCCCACTCTCCAGTTTCCTCTCCTGACATCTCCTACTCTCAGGAGCGTGCAGGGTCTCCACTGTACCTGCTTCCTGGTTCCTGCGCTCCCCAGAGTCATGTGGCTGGCTCCTTCTCCTCCTTCAGGTTTCTGTCCTCTGGCTCCTAGCTCTGAGGCTCAGGCTGCAAAGCTGCCTGAGATGGACACCCACAAGGTGCCATCGTATTGGGGGATGGAGCCTTCCATGGCTTCTGTCACCGTGATTGGATCATCCCATTCATTTACTCACCAAATCTTTACTGAGACCTGCTGTGGGCCAGAAGCTGTGTAAAATGCTGGCAGTGCAGCAGTGAATAAGACAGATGCAATAGACATACAATAAATAGGTAAGAAGATAATCTAATGTCAGGTAAGGGACAGGTGATGTGGAAAAATGAAGCAGGGTGCAGAGATGGGTACAGAGCGATAGGGAGCACTTCCTTAGGTGGGGAAGACGGAGGGAGTGATTGGCACAGGGGAGGAGAGCAGACGTGCATGGTCAACAATAAGGAGCATTTACTGAGCACTCTCTGCATGCAGGCCATGTTATAACCTCAGTGAGTCTTCCCATCCCTCCCCAAAACAGGTGCTTAAAACAACACTGACTTATTACTTCTCACAACTCTGTGTACTGGCTGGTGGTTTCTCTTCTGGTTTTACCTGGGCTCATTCATGCAGCTTCCTTCAGCGTCCACCTATGCTTGAAGGTCCAAGATGGCCTTATCCATGCGCCCAGCAGCGGTGAGGGTTGTTCACTGGGGCATCTCAATTCTGTTTGCAGCCTCTTATCTTCCAGAGGACTGGCTTATTTTTTATTTTTTATTTTTATTGATTTCAGAGAGGAAGGGAGAGAGAGAGATAGAAACATCAATGATGAGAGAAAATCATTGATCGGCTGCCTCCTGCACGCCAACCACTGGGGATCGAGCCCGCAGCCTGGGCATGTGCCCTTGACTGGAATCGAACCCGGGACCCTTCAGTCCACAGGCCGACGCTCTATCCACTGAGCCAACCTGGCTAGGGCAGGACTGGCTTCTTAACACGGAGTTCTCAGGGCAGAATCCTGGGCTGGAAAGTCTCATAAAGTCACTTCCTCACATTTTATTGGTCAAAGCAAGTCAAACACCAGCCTGGAGCTGACTTGTTCCTTATTGGCTCTCTTGCATCAGATGCCCATTCCTGGACCAATCACTAGCAGGGGAATAAGATTACCCTTAGACCCATCAGGGTTTCTCAAGGATCTAGGGTTGAGGTCACTTCTTGAGGCATCCGGGCTGACTGGGTGTGTGGCCGTGTGGGTGGACACTTGAGAACAAAACTGCAGGCAAGGGAGGGGTCATTGCTAACCACTGTTAAAATTGGGAGAAAATTCTTTCTAGGTATTTTACAGATGCAAATAAATGTAAAAGGTCTTCCTGCCTGCCACACTTGTACTGAGAACGCTTTGCTGGGAGACGCTTGGGACCATGGCCTGAATGGGGCCCGGTTTCTTGGGCACAATCATAACATGACTTTTCTTTTTAATGGGAGCAAGTGGAAATAACAGATTAAAACCATGTTTCAAAAACTAGACTAAAACATAGATAATATTTAAAATTCTCTTAACATAATTTCAAATTTACAGAGAAGTTGCAAGAATAGTACAGAAAACTTGCGTATCTCCTTCACTCAGATCCCCTAATTGTCAGCATGTTGCTACACTTGACTTGTTATTCTTTGTCTGTGTAATTTTTATGAGTCATTTAAGAGTCAGTTATAGATACGATGTTCTTTTACCCCTAAACTTCAATGTGCACCTCCTAAGAATCAGGACATTCTCTTACATGACCACCGTATAGTTTTCAACAGCAGGAAATTTAATGTTGATACAAGGTTATAATATAATTGCTATTGTCCATATTTAAATCCCACTAGTTGTTTCAATAATGGCATGACATTCTTATTCTTAAACTAGTGGCTACCAAGGTCATTGTACCATCTTCCAAAGAGCTGGATGTGCACCTTCCCAAAGAGAAGAAAATCAATTATATTCACAAATCTGCTGAAGTAATCTGTGCCTAGAAATCCTACTCACAGGCTCTGTGAGTGTCAGCGTTTCTCAACTGGAAACGATTTGGGCTCCCAGGGGACGTTTGGCAGTGTCTGGAGACTTGTGGTTGTCACGCTGGGGGTAGAGTTAGGCTCCTGGCATCTTGTGGGTAGAGGCCAAGAATGCTGCTAAACATCCTACCCAGCACAAGACAGCCCCCACCATAGGGAATTCTCTGGCCCAAAATGTTAGTAGTGCTGAGATTCAGAATCTCTGATCTATAAATCAATTGGATTTAAAATTCTCCCCTGAAATTCTGTTTCTCCCCAGCTACCCTGGAAAACCCTGGTCTTATAGGCATAGGGTGGCCCAGCCACGTCTGTTTTATGATAATTTCAAACTGGAACTAACCCACATGCCCCATTAGGAGGAGACTGATAAAATAAAACAGCGCAGGCAACTTCCCTGGGCTCTGTTTGCTCTTCTGTAAGATGGGGCTGGGGAGGTGGGATTGGAAGGATGCCAGTGATCTTGGGCCCAGCTGCTACTCGATGACTTATGGTCATCACTGCTTCTGACTCATGCATGATTGACAAGTTGAGGATACGTGGTGATACGACTCCAGGCTTTTATAGACAGGAGGCTGCCCTAGAATGTCTCCCCATTGAAATCCAGGGCAGGGCCTCTGCTGAGTCACCTCTGGCTCAGGGTCTGGCTTATTTGAAAAGCAGCTGCCATTTCGTTAGTGCCAAATGTGCAGTAGGCTCCATGCTGAGTCTGTTAGTACATTGTGACTCTCACAACTCCCACGTGGGATGAGCACACGTACTCACCTGTCTTCTTTTTATAAATGAGGAAATGGAGGCTCAGAGAGGTCATGACCCACAGCTGGGAAAGACAGAGTGAGGGTTCAACCCTCACGTGGGTCAGGTCTGCTGCACCTTCTCCCACACATGGTAGGTGCTCAGAAATGTATGAGTGGCAGGGATTGGACAATATATTCATTGGTAACAGAACGCTGAGTTTTAGCAGAAAACGTGTTAGCTATGTTAGTTAATGCCTTCCTTGTAGCAGTATAGGACATATGACTAATTCCAGCCAATAGAATGAGAATGGAAATGGCAGAAGAGATTGTGGTTTGTGCCCTTAAAGAGGCTGAATTCTATTTCCTTTTCTCAACTTCCCAACAGCAGGAATATAGATGTGATGGCAGTGCTAGAGCAGCCACATTGGGCCATGAGATGGAAATTGCTGGTTGAAGGTGGAAGAGTTATAAGATAGAAAGAGACTGAGTCCCTGACACCATAAAGCCACCATCCAAACTCTGGCTACTTTCATTCAGATGATGTGAGAGAGGAAAATTAAATATTTTCTTGCCCAGGAGACACTTGTTACTTGAGCCTTTCTTACAGCATTGGACCTACATCTCACCAATGCATTTGTTAAATGACTAGAGGCCTGGTGCACGATCCCTCAGCCTGGCCTGTGGGATCGGGCTGAAACCGGCTCTCCAACATCCCCAGAGGGGTCCTGGATTGCGAGAGGGCACAGGCCAGGCTGAGGGGCCCCACTGGTGCATGATCGGGGCTGTGGAGGGACGCAGGAGGTTGGCCAGCTGGGAGGGACTGTGGGAGGGCTCCAGGGCATGTCCGGCCATCTTACTCAGTTCCAATCGGCTGGACCCCAGCAGCAAGCTAACCTACCAGTTGGAGGTCTGCCCCCTGGTGGTCAGTGCATGTCATAGCAAGCAGTTGAGTGGCCTTAGCATATGATTAGCATATTACGCTTTGATTGGCTGAACGGCCGACCAGCCGATGGGACACTTAGCATATTAGGCTTTTATTATATAGGATTGAATGGATGATTGAATGTCAGAGAGAGCAGTCAGATCTAGGCCCACACACATATAAAAATTCACAAAGACCAAACTCGAGCCGAGGGTGGAAGCACCGTCCAAGTACAGTAGAAAAATTCATGGCCGGAGGTAGCCAGTTCTAAACCTGGCCCTTCCTCTAGCCTGATGTGTTTCTCTGGATAACATATGTGCTCTCTCTGGGCCCCCCACTCCTCAGTTGTAAACCAGGCTTAGTGAGTTCATGGAATCGATGCAGTTTCAAGATGTTCAATGCTCTTTGAAATTTCACTTCCAGGAATCCATTCCCAGAGAAATTGTCACCTCATAGCTTATGAACACAGGTGCAAGGATATAGCTTAGTTTGTGGAGCAAAAACTTGGAAATATCCTTAGAAGTGATTTAAATAAACTATGGCACATTCATGATTTAGAGCATCAAACTGCTGTGGACATGGGCATTCTCTGGTGACACGCGCTGGCACAAAATGACTCTGCAGCTCAGCAGCTGGGCAAAGAGAATTTCCGGAACAAGAGAGGTTCCAGTAGCTGTGAGGATAGTTTGGGAAGCCACCGAGCAGGGAAGACTTGGAAGGAAGGCCACGGCCAGGAGGTTGGCCTGGGTGTGGGGGTTGAGAGCGTGGACCTGGGACTGAATTCCAGCTCCACTGCGTCCCGGCTGGGTGAGTTTAGGCAGAGTTGGGTCTTTCTCTGAGCCTCAGTTTCTTTTTCTATAAAATAAGGACCCTAGGGCCCATCGTATAGAGTTCAGTGAGGATTCAATGCGTGAGTGGATTTATTTGATTATTTATTGAACCAACATTGGGTACCTGTGATGTTGGTGATTGGGAATTTCATCTAGGACCTAGATCCTGACCTCATGGAGCTTATAATCTGGGCAGGGGGATGTGGTGGGGGGGTGCGTAGAGATGGTAAATAAGTAAGCATGCATATAAGGTATTGATGATACTCTAAAGCAAGCAGGTCAAACTCAAAGGCTAACACGGGCCAAATAAACAAGGTTTAAGTTTATGAGGGCCGCAAAAAAACAAAAGCTTCAATTTTCATAGAAACCTAGGTTTATTTTGATAGAGACACGCTGAATACAAAGGGCTGAAATAAATGAGTAACCGTTAACATAAAATAATAGAACATTGTAATAAAAATTAATATTTTTTCTTGAACATTAACTTACCAGACACTGAATAACTGCACAAATTAATAAGCCTAACATAAAAAACCCTATTTTTTTCCTCCAAAAGTGAAATATTTCCTGTTGCGCACACCAAACAAGTCAGTCCAAGACTAATGACATGGCAATTGGCTGCTAAAATATTCGCTGCTAGTATTAGTGGAGAGAAATGGTGCGCCTGTGCATAAGGCGCTTAAGGGAAATGAATGCAACACGATTATAGTAATCAGACATTAGTGAACTTTGTAGTTCGTTATTAATAATTATGTGTAACAGGATATTGTAAAAATTAAGTGACGAAATTTTTATTAAAATGTTTCTACATACAGTTATATTGGCTGGGTGGCAAAAATATTCGTTGTGGGCCCCATGGGGCTTGTGGGCCTCAAGTTTGACATGTTGGCTCTAAAGCAGTGGTTCTCAACCTTCTGGCCCTTTAAGTACAGTTCCTCATGTTGTGACTCAACCATAAAATTATTTTCGTTGCTACTTCATAACTGTAATGTTGCTACTGTTATGAATCATAATGTAAATATCTGATATGTAGGATGGTCTTAGGCGACCCCTGTGAAAGGGTTGTTCGACCGCCAAAGGGGTCACAACCCACAGGTTGAGAACCGCTGCTCTAAAGGAAAATAAAGCAGGAGCTGGATCTGTGTGGGTAGAGGCATTGTTACAAATAGACAGTGTTACAAATGCTTGGGAGGGCCTTCTGAGGAGGTCTGAGCCGGTGCCTGACGGAGCTGTAGCTGGTGGTTGTAGTGTGCACGTGAAACGCCAGTGGGACAATCTGGCTCATAGGAAATGCACAGTCAATGGTGGATCATAGTCTTAGCCCACAAAGGAAAGGGATTAGAGGGGAGATTGGAATCCCAGGGTCTGATGCAGTTGCAGATCAAGAGAAGATTCCTTGGGGCTTGGTGGGTGGAAAAGCAGCTGCCGAGCCTGAGCAGACCCGGCTCCGGGAGGTCTTGCACAAATCACTGTCCGGCCTCCATTCCCTTATTTGGAAAACAGGGTGATAATGCCCACCTTGTAAGGGGGATGTTATGGGCCAAATATGTCCTCTCACAATTTATATGTTGAAGTCCCAACTCCCAGTATCTCTGTATTTGGAAATAAGGTCTTTAAAGAGGTGACTGAGTTAGCCCTAGCTGGTTTGGCTCAGTGGATAGAGCGTCAGCCCTCAGACCTAAGGGTCCCGGGTTTGATTCTGGTCAAGGGCACGTACCTCGGTTGGATTGCAGGCTCTTCCCCAGCCTGGGCCCTGGTCAGGGCACGTGCAGGAGGCAACCAATGGATGTGTTTCTCTCACATGATAGTTCTCTCTGTCTTTCCCTCTCTATTCCACTCTCTCTAAAAATATCCTCAGGTGAGGAATTAAAAAAACAAAAAAAACAAAGGAAAGAGGTGATTAAGTTAGAATGAGGTCATTAGCATAAGCTAATATGATGGTATCCTTATAAGAAGAGGAGATTATATACAGACGGGAGACGGGAGACGCTGTGAAGACAGGGAGAAGGCAGCCATCTGCAAGCCAGGGAGAGAGGCCTCACTAGAAACCCTGATCTCAGACTCCCAGCCTCTACAACTGTGGGGAAATAGATTTCTGTGGTTTAAGCCACCTAGCCTGGTGGCAGCCCTAGCAAACTGATACAGGGCGGTGCATGCAGGGTGATGAATGCAGACAGGCACGCAGGAGGCCCTGCGAGAGCCTGGTTTCCTTGGCCTGGCCACGTGGAGCTTCTTACCTGAGCCTGGGGCCTGACTGGTCAAACCTCAGCGTCTCTGTAGACGCCGAGTCCGTCTGGAGGTCACTGAGGTGACTCTGCCGCGTCACCCACACTGTGCCCCGGACTGACCCTGACTTGGGACCCAGCTCACTTAATTTCTGCCCTCCCTCTGGTTCATTACTCAGTCAATCCACAAACCTCACGTGGATTGTACCACAGTGGCCATTCTGTAAGTTGTGGCATGACCGGCGCATCAGCGAGGGTCCAGGCTGGAGAATGGAGACCACTCTAGGCATGTCAAACAGAAGGGATGGAAGACAGGGATCATGTACACAGACGCTGGGAGAGCAGAGATGCCAAAGGGCAGGACGAGGCGCCCCAGCCTGAGCTCCAGCTCCAGGCCAAAGGGACAGAGGGAGGATGTTGTACGAAGAGCTCCTGGAGGCTAGACCCTAGTGAGGGCTGCCTGGAGGAAACTGGGACCAGGCAGGGAGGGCCTGTTGGGCAGGGACTGGTTCTCTTTGCTCTCAGATCCATTTCCTGCCCCTGCTTTGCTCTGACTTACAGCGGGGCTGACCTCTGCAGACTGCATTGCCCATGCTCCAGGTCAGCTGACTTCCCAGTGGCCAATGGGAGGTCCTAGTGGGAGATTGGAGGCCAGAAGGAGGGGAGAAGCCAGAGTATTTCTCCTTCCACCTTGGGCTGCATCCCCGACAATAACTGAGTGTCCTCCGTGGCTCCAGTCCACTGTGCTTCTAGCTTTGCTGGGGGAGCACAGGCCTCAGGCTCCTGCAACATTACCCCCTCCCTCAGTCCCTCCAGCTTAGAGGTGCAGTGGCTTTCTGTTACTGCAAATCTCTGAGCTGCTTGGCAGTCTCTTGCTTGGCTTCTGGGTGCCTCCATCATTCCTGTGACTACCTCACTGTTGGAAAATCTCTCTGTTTCAATGTCCAGTGGCTTCCAGGTTAAATGGTGATTGACACAAGGGGAGGAGAGGAGAGAAAAGTGGCAAGTGGTCAGCCCAGCAGGCCTTTCCACCCTCCCCTTTCTTATCGATAAAAACCCAGCAGCCTATCGATGGGGAGAGGCAGTTGGGTGCTGGGGCATCAAGAGGTGGCCCTAGAGCCAGACAGGCCTCACCCTGTTCTCTCTCTGCCACTCGTCAGCTCTGTAAACTTCATCATGTTACTCCCCTCTGCGGCCTCAATTTCCTTACCTGTCAGGTGGGGATGAGGATCATGCCCATCGATTCTGTGCTGTTCTGAGGATTTGATGAGATGTGGCATGGGAAAAACTTAGCTGCAACCTTAAAAAAGAACAGGAAGGAGGAGACGCCTCTATCAGCAGCAAAAAGGCATATGCCATTATAATAAAAAATGGGGTGCTGGTGCAGGGAGGCAGAGCTGGGGTGCAGGAACCGCCCATGCACATGTGAGAAGTAAATACACCATAGAGGGTGCCCCACAACCCACCTGGGGAAGGAGAGAGTGTTCAGAAGATGGTGTGGGAAACCAGCCCCAAATAAAACTGACCTCACACTGCAAACAACGGTGGACTCTAGAGGGATTGAGACTTAACATGGAGCGCAAACTTTTAAACTAGTAGGAGCTATAGACACAGTGAAATATTATTCATCCACAAAAAAGAAAAATTCGGCCACATGCGACAACATCGATGGACCTTAAAAACTGTGATGAATGAAACAAGCCAGTCACAGGAAGACAAATAGTGTATGATTGACTTATATGAGGTAGTCAAACTCACAGAAAGTAGATTAGAGGTTTCCAGTGGCTGGGGGGAGGCAGAGACGTGGGTTTAATGGGCACAGCAGAGTTTCTGTTTGGGTTGATGAAAAGTTCTGGAGATGGATGGTAATGATGGTTGCACAACACTTAATGCCACTAAATGTTTTCACCTTTAAAAATGGCTAAGCCCTGGCTGGTTTGGCTCAGTGGATAGAGCGTCGGCCTGTGGACTGAAAGGTCCCAGGCTCGATTCCAGTCAAGGGCACATGCCCAGGTTGCAGGCTCAATCCCCAGTATGGGGCATCCAGGAGGTGGCCGATCAATGATTCTCTCTCATCATTGATGTTTCTATCTCTCCCTCTCCCTCCCTCTCTGAAATCAATAAGAGTATATTTAAAAAAATAAAAAAGGCTAAATGGTAAATTTTATGTTACATATATTTTACCATAATAACAAAGCACCAATATATAAAAAGAAAGAACATTTAAAAATTATGTTAATTACATCAAAATGAAAGAATTCTGGCCAAAGGATCCCATGGACAAAATGAATAGACAGATATCAGGGTGTGAAGACATTGCAGTGTCTAAAATTGCAGTGCTTAGAACATACAAGAAACTTGCAAGTAAACAACAGAAAAGACAGCAGCAGCCCCAGTGGAAAAAGAACAGTGGGTGGGAAGAGCAGTTTACAGAAGGGAAAACCACAGGCTCATGAAGAAGGCTCAGTCATTAGTAATAGGAAATGCAAATGAAAAGAACAAACAGGAGAGAGTTCTTCACATGTAGGAAATTGGTAAAAATTAAAAAGTTGGACAGCACCCAGATTTTCGTTTCAAAATCGCCCTTCTCCACTAAAATGAACCTGGGCAGGGCTAAGAAAAATAGCAATTGATCCTGGAACATCTTGTTGTGCCCTCAAAGAAAGAGATGTTCAAGGAATAATGGAGCGATGGTAAAAGGACACAGGAGTCAGCTGACAGGGGTACACTGGCCAAATATGGGTCAATTGGAGCATCAAACTAAATAATGGTAATGATGGATTTAGAACCCATGGAATAAAATAAAATCCATACTGGCATCTATAACAATAAAAGTGTAATATGCTAATGAGACCAGACGTCCTTCTGGACGTCCTTCCAGACAACCTTCTGGATGAAGCCGGGGCTGTGAGGGAAGCCCGGGTCCCGGGTGCTGGAGGGAAGCCGGTATGGGTAGCTGGGGGAAGGAAGGCCTACTCTTGCACGAATTTCGTGCATCGGCCTCTAGTAAATGAATAAACAAATAGGTGGCTGTGTGACTTTAAGATATACCTCCAAATTTGTTGATAGTCTTCGCAAGGGGTGGACTGTAATCCACTTCCTCTTGAGTGGGGCTGGACTCAGTGATTCAATTCTAGTGACTAGATTATGGCAGAAGTGGTGCTGTGCTGGGAAAGTAGGTCATAGAGGCATGTGCTTCCTTCTTGTTCTCTCTGATCCCTGTGTCTGGGGGAAGACAGCTGCTCTGTCATGGGACATTCAAGCAGCCCTGAGAGAAGAGGCCCATGTGGCCAGCACTCAGCTGTCCAATACAATGGCCCCTAGGCACATACCGCATGGCTGTTAGGCACTTACAGTGTGGCTAGTCCACAGTGAATTTTAAAGACAGCATGGAAAAAAGATGTCAAATATCTCGTTAATTATATTGTATATGGAGGACATGTTGAAATGAGGTTTTAGGTATATTGGGTTAAGTAAAATATATTCCTAAACTGAATTTCACCTGTGGCCTTTAAAAAAAAATCTTTGAATATATTTTTATTGATGTCAGAGGGGAAGGAACAGGGAGATAGAAACATCACTGATGAGAGAGAATCATTGATGGGCTGCCTCTTCCACGCCCCACACTGGGGATTGAGCCTGCAACCTAGGCATGTGCCCTGACTGGGAATTGAACTGTGACCTCTTGGCTCATAGGTCGACACTCACCCACTGAGCCACATCAGCCAGGCTCACCTGTGGCTTTTTAAACTGTGGCCACCAGAAAATTTAAAATGAAACATAAACACATGGCTCACATTATATTCCTCCTGGATGGTGACGCTCCAGCCCCAGGTGAGCTTTCAGATAACCAGCCCCAGCTGACACCTTGGCTGCACCTTCACAGAGACTTGAGGCCAGAACCTTCCAGCCAGACCACTCCTGAATTCCTGACCCACAACAAACAGTGAGAAAATGCTGATTATTTTAAGCTGCTAAGTTTGGAGGTCATTTGTTACACGGCAATAGATTGACTGAGGCAAGCATCTAAGTGGATGTTAAAATCAGTGGGTGAGTCCAGCTGGTGTGGCTCAGTGGTTGAGTGTTGACACGTGCACCAACAGGTCGCTGGTTCTATTCCCGGTCAGGACACGTGCCCAGTTGTGGACTCGATCTCCAGTGTGGCGCGTGCAGGAGGCAGCTGATCGATGATGTTTCACTTTCATCAATGTTTCTACCTCTCCCTCCCTCCCTCCCTCCCTCCCTCTCTCTCTAAAAATCAATAAAAACATATTTAAAAAACCAGTGGGTGAAGTTGGAGGAATAACACTATGCTTAAATAGTTTAAAAATATCTCCCCACAAGGGCGTGCAGGAGGCAGCCGATCAATGATTCTTTCTCATCATTGAAGTTTCTATCTCTCATTCCCTCTCCCTTCCTCTCTGAAATCAATAATATATATATCTCCCCACAACACACTTATTGATTACAGAGAGAAAAACAGTAGCTTGACAGTGGTGAAACCTGGCAGGCATCACCTTAACCATGAGATCAACATTAGCATCAGCAGACAGGGGACAAACAGCTCTCAAGTGCCTCCTGATGGGAATCGTCGAGGAGGACACAACACAAAGGCGTGGAGGAAACGTCAGACAGACCCACTGGAGGACATTCTACGAAGGAACTGGCCTAAACTCTTCAAAAGTTTCAAGGTCATGAATGAGAAAGAAAGACTGAGGAACTGCTCCCAACTAAAGGAGACCAGGGCTGCTACGTGCAGACTTGGTTGCAGACACCAGTACCCCTCACCCCAACCACTTCAGCATTAGCTCGAGGTCAGTATTCGTTCCTCTGTCTGTAAAACTTACAGTCCGTGAAATGCACACATCTTAGGTTACTTTAGATTATTTTTGACAAATGCATCTACCTGTGTTATACAAACTTCAAGATATCGAACATGAAGGGGGTTGAACTGTGTCCCTCAAAAAGATATATTCAAGCCCTAACCCTTGGTACTTGTGAACAGAACCTTATTTAAAAATAGCGTCTTGCAGATACAACTGAGTTAAGATGAGGTCATGCTGAGGTTGGGATTAGGGTGGGCCCTAAACCCAACGACTTTATAAGAGAAAGGAGAAGATTTGAACACAGACACACACAGGGGGAAGCGGGCCATGTGAAGACAGAGGCAGAGATTGGAAGGATGTACCTCCAAGCCAAGGACTGCTGGCAGCCACCAGTATCCGGAAGAGGCAAGGAAGGATTCCTCCTGGGAGCCTTCAGCGGGAGCATGGCCCTGGTTTCAGACTCCTGGCCTGCAGAACTGGTGGAGAGTAAATGTATGCTGTGTTAAGCCACCTAGTTTGTGGCTTGGCTATGGAAGCCCTGGGAAAGTAACACAGAACATTTACCACGACTCCAAAAAGTACCTTGGGCCCCTGCCCAGTCAGTCCTGCTCAACCCCAGCTAAATTTTCCAGCTTAGATTAATCTCACTCATTCTAGAGCAGTGGTTCTCAACCTTCCTAATGCCGCGACCCTTTAATACAGTTCCTCATGTTGTGGTGACCCCCAACCATAGATTATTTTCGTTGCTACTTCATAACTGTAATTTTGCTACTGTTATGAATCGTAATGTAAATATCTGATATGCAGGATGTATTTTCATTGTTACAAATGGAACATAATTAAAGCATAGTGATTAATCACAAAAACAATATGTAATTATATATGTGTTTTCCGATGGTCTTAGGCGACCCCTGTGAAAGGGTCATTCGACCCCCAAAGGGGTCGCGACCCACAGGTTGAGAACCGCTGTTCTAGAGCGTCATGTCAGTGGGATCATGCAGCACGTATTCTTTTGTGTCTGGTATCTTGCACTTGGCACAAGATTTTGGCGTCACCCAGATAGTGCATCCAGTGGCTGGCATGCCTATAACTAAAGTCAATTTGCTGCGGGGGAGAGAGGGAGGAAGCAGATTTTGTAAAGAGAGGAGTGGACAATGGAGGTGGGAAATTTCTCATAAAAGGTGGGCTTGGAGCCTCCTGCCCTGGGGTCTCTGGCCCAGACCTACCTGTCTCTCAGCTCAGGTAGCAACTGGGGAGGTTGGAGGCTGGGCTTCATCGCCACCTGGTGGCCTTTCTAGACAATGCAACCACAAATGCCAGCATTGGGCCCGCTGGGTGGGGAGATTGTGGGATCAGGCAAGTGTTTATCTTCTTGGGTTGGGTCCCCAGATCACTGAGCACCTACTCAGCACCTGCATGATTCCTGTGTGCGTGTGTGTACAGAGATGACTCACATTGAGCTGACCTCCAGGAGCTCCCAGTAGAGCGAGATTACACAAAGCTAACTCCAGTAGGGGTGGAATAAGATCCTAGAGGCACGAAGTGTACAGAGTGCAGAGAAAGCGGGGGGAAATTTGACTTCGACATTCAGGGAAAGTTTCTGTGGGTATTTCTCAGCTGGAGGTGAAAGGAAAGGGTGTTGGAGGCAGAAGAACAGCACAAGCAAAGGTGTGGAGGCAGGACCATGCAGTGTATGGCTTTCTAAACTCAAACAAATAATAAGGTAATACCTACTCCTGGCCAACATTTTAAAGTTAGAAGAGGGTGTAGGTCTTGCTCCCACCTCCCACCTCATACCTCAGGCCCCCAGTCCTTCTCCTGTGGTAGACTTACTGTAGGGGCTCCCCGTGAACCAGCCGCCCGGTATGCGCCCCTTTTATCCTCTCCTGCCCTTGCTTCCGAGCTGACCGATGGCTGGGATAGAAATGGCGGTTGGCCAGTTTGGGGCTTAAGCTTAAAGAAGGCCTAGTAGCTTTGCAGCTTCCACTTCTGTGCTCTGGGATAAGCTAATTGCTGTGTAAGAAGTGTGGCTACTGTGCTGGGGAGACCACGTGGAAAGGCCACATGGAGTCACAGCTCGGACCGTGTTCAGGGACCATGTAGAAAGCCACGTGAGGATACTTTGTGAAGAGGCTCCCTGAGCAGAAGTCTCTTGGAGAGACCACACGGGGAGGGAGAAAGTGGGTACTGGAGGCCCGAGGAACCGAGAAACTGAGAACTGAGCTGGGGCCATCCATGCGGAGCTGCCACACGTGGGAATGCAGGCACCTTGGGTGTTCCCGCCAGCAGCCAGCAGAGACAAACTGTCCCCTGGTGCCTTGTCCAAATTCTTGACCCACAGGGTGGTGGTTGTTTTAAACCACTAAGTTTTGGGGTATGTTATTGCACAACAATATTCAGAGCATCCTGGGCCCTAGCCTGTCACTGTTGCCAGTTTCTTACAGCCCTCCCAGCGGGAGACTACATCCTCAAACAAACACGAGTAAATTCCCGCATCTCCCCTCATTTATGTGTGTGTGTGGGGCGGGGGTTGGCACACCACACATCCTGGCCTGCATTTGGCCTTTTTTCACTTGACAATAGATCTTAGAGAGGGTTTTAGATGTGTGCTGTTCAGGACAATAGTCACTACCCACAGGCTATTTAAATGTAATTAAAATGGAACAAAATAAAAAGGCCAGTTCCTCAGTCACACTAGCCACATCTCCAGCACTCGGTGGCCCCACGTGGCTGGTAGCTCCTATATGGCACAGGACAGCTGTAGAATGTCCCCATCGTCCCAGACACGTGCAGAGGATAGCGCCGGCCTGGGTCCCCTCCTGCAGAGACGGCTCAGTCGTTTTAGTAGCTGCACAGTATTTACTGGTAACAACAGCTTCTGCTATTACAGCGTCCATTTGTCTTTGGGTAGGTGTGAGTATCTTGTAGTATAAATGCCCAGCATCCCTGGGCCCAGTGATATTTCCCATTTTAAAAAAAATATATTTTTATTGATTTTAGAGAGAGAGAGAAACATCAACATTGTTTGGCTTGGCTATCTCCTACACTAGGGATTGAGCTTTCAACCCAGGCACATACTGGGAATCGAACCGGCGGGCCCAGTGATATTTCCCATTTAAAAAAATATTTTTATTGATTTGAGAGAGAGAGAGAGAGAGAGAGAGAGAGAGACATCAACATTGTTTGGCTTGGCTACCTCCTACACTAGGGATTGAGCTTTCAACCCAGGCACATACCCCACCTGGGAATCGAACTGGCAACCTCCCTCCTGGTTCATGGATTTACGCTCAACCACTGAGCCACACCAGCTGGGCCATATTTTCAATTTCAATAGCCATGGCCAGATTACTTAAAGCTGGAGGTTGTACCGCTCTGCACCACCACTGAAAGTGTGCAAGAGAACCTGTTTTCACCCACCTTCATCAACACTGTGTTGTTCACATTAAACAAACGGAGCTGCTGGTGAGGGTTTTAAAGGGAAACGGGACTCTGCCGGGACCCTTCTGCCTCGCCTCCTTCCACGTCACAGTGCCACCGGGGACCTTTCCGTGTGGACATATGAAGATCTACCTGGTTTGTTTTCAATGTGTGGTAAAGTTCACATAACATAAAATTTCCCACCTTAACCACTGTTACCTGGACAGTTCGGTGGCCTTAGGTTCGCCCTCATTGTTGCACAGCCATCCCCGCCATCCATCGCTAGAACTTCTTCATCTTCGCAAACTGAAACTCTATACCCATTAAACACTAACGCCCCATCCCAGCCCCTGGCAACCACCCTGCTACTCTCTGTCTCTATGAATCTGACTGCTCTGGCACCTTTGTTGTCCTTTTGTGACTGGCTTACTTCACTCAGCATAATGACTTCAAGGTTCTCCTATGCCCGTGGTCGGCAAACCGAGGCTCGCAAGCCACATGCGGCTCTTTGGCCCCTTGAGTGTGGCTCTTCCACAAAATACCACGTGCAGGTGCGCACGTACAGTGCGATTGAAACTTCGTGGCCCATGTGCAGAAGTCGGTATTTTGTGGAAGAGTCACACTCAAGGGACCAAAGAGCCGCATGTGGCTCGTGAGCTGCGGTTTGCCGAACCGCAGGTTGCCGACCACTGACTATGCTATAGCATGTTCATTCCTTTTTAAAAAAGACTGAATAATATTTCATTGATGTACAGACCACATTTATTTATTGTTTACACAATTACAAATGTCCCCCATATCCCCCTCCCCCTTTACCCACCTCTACTCAGCGCCACCCCCTCCCTCCACTCTGGCCATCACCACACTGTTGTCTGTGTCCATGGGCTATGTATATATATTATTTTTTTGTTGTTGGAGGGAGAGAGAAACATTGAGACACGTCAATTGGCTGCTTCCTGCACGCGGTGTGGATCAACCTACCACACTGTTGTCTGTGTCCATGGGCTGTGTATATATATTATTTTGTTGTTGTTGGAGAGAGAAACATTGAGACACGTCAATTGGCTGCCTCCTGCACGCAGTGTGGATCAACCCGTCAGTGCGAAGGCTGACACCCTAACCACTGAGCACACTGGCTAGGGCACATATATGTTCTTTGACTAATCTCTAGACCACATTTTGTTTATCCATTCACACATCGATGGATACTTGGGGTCGCTTTCCCCTTTTGGCTATTGTGAATGCTGCTGCTGTGAACACGGGCCTGCAAATATCTGTTTGGGATCCTGCTTTCAATTCTTGTGTCTATGCCCAGAGTGGGGCTGTTGGCTCACATGTAATTCTACGTCCCCTTTCTGAAGAACAGCCACACTGTTTCCCATAGTGGTGGCACCGTTTTACATTCCCATCAACAGTGACAAGACTTTCAATCTCTCCATAGCTTCACCAATACTTATTTTCTGTTTTTCTTGATAGCAGTCAACCTAGTGGGTGTTGTGTCTATGCCCAGAGTGGGGCTGTTGGCTCACATGGTAATTCTACGTTCCCCTTTCTGAAGAACAGCCGCACCGTTTCCCATAGTGGTGGCACCATTTTACATTCCCACCCACAGTGATAAGACTTTCAATTTCTCCATAGCTTCACCAATACTTTTCTGTTTTTCTTGATAGCAGTCAACCTAGTGGGTTTGAGGTGGCCTCGTATTATGGTTTTAATTTGCATTTCCTTAATGATTAGTGATGTTGAACATCTTTTCATGTGCTTTTTGGCCATTCGTGCATCTTCTTTGGAGATGCATCTTCTATTTTAAGTCAGTTGCCATGTTAAGTTGGGTTTTCCATTGCCAACTTGTAGCAGTTGTTTATATATTCTGGATATTAACTTCTTATCAGATATATGACTTGCAAATATTTCCTCCTGTTCTGCGGGCTATCTTTCTTTCCACTCTGCTGCTGATGTCCTTTGCTGTACAGAGCTGTAAATTTTGATGTGGTCCAGTTTGTCTACTTTTTTCTTTTGGTTGCCAGTGCTTTCAGTGTCAGATACTTGTCCCTTGAGGTGGCCTCGTATTATGGTTTTAATTTGCATTTCCTTAATGATTAGTGATGTTGAACATCTTTTCATGTGCTTTTTGGCCATTCATGCATCTTCTTTGGAGATGCATCTTCTATTTTAAGTCATTTGCCATGTTAAGTTGGATTTTCCATTGCCAACTTGTAGGAGTTGTTTATATATTCTGGATATTAACTTCTTATCAGGTATATGACTTACAAATATTTCCTCCCATTCTGCGGGCTGTCTTTCTTTCCACTCTGCTGATGTTGTCCTTTGCTGTACAGAGCTGTACATTTTGATGTGGTCCAGTTTGTCTACTTTTTTCTTTTGGTTGCCAGTGCTTTCAGTGTCAGATACTTGTCCCTTTAAATGGCTATGGAGTGGTCCACCACTGTGTAGTTGTTTTATAATCGGACCTACCAGCAAATCCCGAGTGGTCTACTTTCAAAATAGATTCAGCATTTGATCACTTCTCCCCACCTCCACGGCTACCACCTGGTGGAGTCCACCGTCCCGTCATGTGCCTGCACAACTGCCCTGACCTCCACCCCCCATATGCAGCCAGAGGGATTCTGTTAAAACCTGTAAGAGCCTGTCCCTCCTCTGCTCAGAACTCTTCGTGGCTCCTGTTAACCCAGAGTAAGAGTCAACGTCTTTACAATGGCCCACAAAGCCCTGTGTGATATGGCCCCACTATTTCTATGAGATAATTCCCTGCTACTCTTCCTGTACTCCGCCCACAGCAACTACATGGGTGAGGCATGCTCCTACCCCAGGGCCTTTGCACTTGTTGGTATACTTTCCTCACAGCTACCTGCATAGCCCACTCCCTCACCACACTCATGTTTTTGCTCAAATGTCACTTCAGTGAGGCCGTGTGTGATATGGCCCCACTATTTCTATGAGATAATTCCCTGCTACTCTTCCTGTACTCCGCCCACAGCAACTACATGGGTGAGGCATGCTCCTACCCCAGGGCCTTTGCACTTGTTGGTATACTTTCCTCACAGCTACCTGCATAGCCCACTCCCTCACCACATTCATGTTTTTGCTCAAATGTCACTTCAATGAGGCCGCTCCTGAACTAAAGTTAAAATCAAGCCCCCCTCCCCCATTCCCCTCCTCTGCTGTATTTTTCTCCATGGTGCTTACCAGAATGTAACACAATGTATACTTTTCTCATTTATCTTGTTTACTGTTTGTCTTCCCCAAGGGAAGTGTCAACTCCATGAGAACAGGAATCGCTTCTATCTTGTTCATGAATATGTCTCTAGGGCACGAGCCACAGTAGGTGCCAAAAAGTATTTGCTGAATCACTAAATGAAAGCACCTTTTGACTGTTTGTTGGACATTTTTATTTCTTTCAGTGGCC